TATAATGGGTTTTGGGCCCCTAGTCTTTCCCTCAAATATTTTGGTCATCACTTATGTTTTGACTTCGCATTGCCTTGCGGCGCGACTGTCACCTCCTTCTGTTTCTCTCCACTGCAGCACCGGGTTTTTCCCAAATTTGGGGCCACCACACATGGGGGTTTAAATTTTTCCCGCACAAAACCCACCAAATCACTTCACAACGCTCTGTCATCTTGTCATCCTTTTTCCTCTATGGCTCGGTATCCCTGAACGGGGTACAGTCAATTTCTGGCCCCTCTTTGATCGTAGGTTATCCCGGAAACCTCACATTACCTCTCTGAAGCAACTTTTCCAGCCGGCTGAACCTTCTTAAAACCCTTTCTCATCTTTTGTGGGGGGGGCGTCGTCGAACCCTCCTTCACCACATTCCCCCCTTATTTTATCGAAACTTATTGGGACCCAAACTATTCAGTGGCATCCCTGCTCTCTCTCTGCCTTAACCCCATTCATCCCAAGGGGTTACTTATCCCGTGCTTTTCGCTCTTTCCCCCGTCGAAAGCCTCATGCAGAAGCGGGGAAAATTTCCTTCCTTGCCGATCGCCGTGAGCCTTGCCCGCGCTACATTACCTCTCATGATCTCCGCAACCTTCCATTTTTAAAAAGGGTCACTGATATTGTAGAATTCTTTATTTTTCGCCCCCCGCTTACCCCCCTTTTCTCTTCACCCTTCATTCGCTCTTGTCTTTCTTTAACTACCACCCCTTTTTATGTACAGACATCTCACTTTTTTCCTACCCCCCCGGAAAGTTCCCGCGTTCGAGTCTGTTCTTTCTTCCTCCCTTGCCGAAAGCCCAACTGTCTACGGTCGCTTCCCGCTCCTTTTTTTTGACCCCTTTTACTCCATTCTCATGCCCCTTTGCTTTACACAAGGCTCTAAGTCTTCTGACGGGGTAGGGGTTCGCAGCAGTGTTTCCGAAGGCGTACAAGGGGATTTTCTACTTCAGCTATATTTTTTTCGCTGAATTATATGCCATCCTTCAGCACTTTTTCCTATTGCATCTATCCTTGTCATCATTTTTGGGTTTCTGATCCCTTATGCTTTTCAGGCTATACAAAAATTTGATAAACCCCACCCCCTTTGTCCCCCTATCCAACTTTGGCTACGCCCATCTTTACTAAGGGTAAAGAAATTTTTTTTTTTGTTGGTCCCTGGTTGTTTGGGACAGGGCAATGAACGGGGAACACTCTGCGCGCAGCATACATGACCTACCCGTTTCTTATAGAGGTATTCCCGTAGGGCTTTTTGCGTAATATTTTCCACCTTCAACCCTTTGGGAACAACTTGCACTATGCCGGCAAAAACTTCAGTTATTTAAAACCAAATATGGTTACTGGCCCTCTTCTTTTCACCAGTGTCAGTTGGAGACACCCCTCCCCTTTGCATTGGCCATACTCTCTTACCGGATATCTCATGGAGAGGCTCTTGCCCTCTCGGTGGAAAATTTCCAGCTCCCCTTATCAGTCAGCCCCCATCGTTGGCTGCCCACTTTATAAAGAGCCGCGAATTTACCTCTTCGGCTTCGCCCCGCTGCTCTCTCTTTACCTTCCCTTCTCGCTGATGGACCCACCTTTCATCCGGACTCTCTCATTGACTTTTTGACAACGACTGACTTACTTCACAAATTCTGATACTTTCAGCCCTTTCTACTTGTATCTCTTGCTACCCTCTACCCCCGTACTATCCCCTGCCCCGCTGTTTTCTGTAACCTGCTGATCATCCCCCCTCCCTTCTGCCATCCAATTCCCTTGCTTCCTTCCCTACCCTGCAGCGCTGTATAGCCCTTGTGGCTTAGCGCTTCTTTTTGATTATAATAATAATAATTACCTAACATTGTTTATATTGCCGAGTGACGTATCTCTCTCTTGTGGCCTTAATAAAGTAGTCATCTTGACAGCTTTAAACATGATAAACTGTATCCCATAATTTATTAATTTACCAGTTCGTCCTTAACTACCAAATCGTGCCCTAACATACTCAGTTGAAAAATGGTATGGTGATACCGACAAGACCTGGAGTTTACCTGGAGAGAGTTCCGGGGGTCAACGCCCCCGCGGCCCGGTCTGTGACCAGGCCTCCTGGTGGATCAGAGCCTGATCAACCAGGCTGTTACTGCTGGCTGCATGCAAACCAACGTACGAGCCACAGCCCGGCTGGTCAGGAACCGACTTTAGGTGCTTGTCCAGTGCCAGCTTGAAGACTGCCAGGGGTCTGTTGGTAATCCCCCTTATGTATGCTGGGAGGCAGTTGAACAGTCTCGGGCCCCTGACACTTGTTGTATGGTCTCTTAACGTGCTAGTGACACCCCTGCTTTTCATTGGGGGGATGTTGCATCGTCTGCCAAGTCTTTTGCTTTCGTAGTGAGTGATTTTCGTGTGCAAGTTCGGTACTAGTCCCTCTACGATTTTCCAGGTGTATATAATCATGTATCTCTCCCGCCTGTGTTCCAGGGAATACAGGTTTAGGAACCTCAAGCGCTCCCAGTAATTGAGGTGTTTTATCTCCGTTATGCGCGCCGTGAAGGTTCTCTATACATTTTCTAGGTCAGCAATTTCAACTGCCTTGAAAGGTGCTGTTAGTGTGCAGCAATATTCCAGCCTAGATAGAACAAGCGACCTGAAGAGTGTCATCATGGGCTTGGCCTCCCTAGTTTTGAAGGTTCTCATTATCCATCCTGTCATTTTTCTAGCAGATGCGATTGATACAATGTTATGGTCCTTGAAGGGGAGATCCTCCGACATGATCACTCCCAGGTCTTTGACGTTGGTGTTTCGCTCTATTTTGTGGCCAGAATTTGTTTTGTACTCTGATGAAGATTTAATTTCCTCGTGTTTACCATATCTGAGTAACTGAAATTTCTCATCGTTGAACTTCATATTGTTTTCTGCAGCCCACTGAAAGATTTGGTTGATGTCCGCCTGGAGCCTTGCAGTGTCTGCAATGGAAGTCACTGTCATGCAGATTCGGGTGTCATCTGCAAAGGAAGACACGGTGCTGTGGCTGACATCCTTGTCTATGTCGGATATAAGGATGAGGAACGAGATGGGAGCGAGTACTGTGCCTTGTGGAACAGAGCTTTTCACCGTAGCTGCCTCGGACTTTACTCTGTTGACTACTACTCTCTGTGTTCTGTTAGTGAGGAAATTATAGATCCATCGACCGACTTTTCCTGTTATTCCTTTAGCAAGCATTTTGTGCGCTATTACACCATGGTCACACTTGTCGAAGGCTTTTGCAAAGTCTGTATATATTACATCTGCATTTTTTTTGTCTTCTAGTGCATCTAGGACCTTGTCGTAGTGATCCAATAGTTGAGACAGACAGGAGCGACCTGTTCTAAACCCATGTTGCCCTGGGTTGTGTAAATGATGGGTTTCTAGATGGGTGGTGATCTTGCTTCTTAGGACCCTTTCAAAGATTTTTATGATATGGGATGTTAGTGCTATCGGTCTGTAGTTCTTTGTTGTTGCTTTACTGCCCCCTTTGTGGAGTGGGGCTATGTCTGTTGTTTTTAGTAACTGTGGGACGACCCCCCGTGCCCCGTGTCCATGCTCCCTCTCCATAGGATGGTAAAGGCTCGTGATAGGGGCTTCTTGCAGTTCTTGATGAACACGGAGTTCCATGAGTCTGGCCCTGGGGCAGAGTGTATGGGCATGTCATTTATCGCCTGTTCGAAGTCATTTGGCGTCAGGATAACATCGGATAGGCTTGTGTTAACCAAATTCTGTGGCTCTCCCATAAAAAATTCTTCGACTCTCAGTCTGGTTAGCGGCTTGCTAAAAACTGAGTCATATTGGGACTTGAGTAGCTCACTCATTTCCTTGCTGTCATCTGTGTAGGACCCATCTTGTTTAAGTAGGGGCCCAATACTGGACGTTGTTCTCGACTTTGATTTGGCATAGGAGAAGAAATACTTTGGGTTTCTTTCGATTTCATTTATGGCTTTTAGTTCTTCCCGCGATTCCTGACTCCTATAAGATTCCTTTAGCTTAAGTTCGATGCTTGCTATTTCTCTGACCAGTGTCTCCCTACGCATTTCAGATATATTGACCTCTTTTAGCCGCTCTGTTATTCTTTTCCGTCGCCTGTAAAGGGAGCGCCTGTCTCTTTCTATTTTGCATCTACTACTCCTTTTTCTTAGAGGAATAAGCCTTGTGCATACATAGAGTGCCACCAAGTTAATCTGTTCTAGGCATAAGTTGGGGTCTGTGTTGCTTAGTATATCTTCCCAGCTTATATCGGTTAGGACTTGGTTTACTTGGTCCCACTTTAAGTTTTTGTTATTGAAGTTGAATTTGGTGAATGCACCCTCGTGACTAATCTCATCATGTCGGTCTGGGGCTCTGTGCATACATGTCTGAACCTCAATTATGTTGTGATCTGAGTATATTGTTTTTGATATGGTGACATTTCTTATCAGATCATCATTGTTAGTGAAGATGAGGTCTAGTGTATTCTCCAGTCTAGTAGGCTCTATTATTTGCTGGTTTAAATTGAATTTTGTGCAGAGATTTAAAAGCTCGTGTGAGTGTGAGTTTTCATCAGAGCTGCCTCCTGGTGTTATTACTGGAACAATATTATTTGCTATATTCCTCCATTTTAGGTGCCTTAAGTTGAAATCCCCCAGGAGCAAGATGCTGGGCGCAGGAGCTGGCAGATTTTCCATACAGTGGTCAATTTTTAACAGCTGTTCCTGGAATTGCTGGGATGTTGCATCCGGAGGCTTGTAGACTACCACAATGACTAGGTTTTGGTTCTCGATCTTTACTGCTAAAACTTCTTATGACACTTATGTACAGTTCAGGACATCCATCAGAGGAAACGTTACTCTACGAGTGGCTTCTACAGTCCTAATACAGAGATAACTAAGAACTTGCAGATTTCTGACAACTTCCTCAACTAATTTGCAGATCTTCGCTAACTTATCAACTTACATATATCTAACTTCCGCATTAATTTACAGGTCTCCCCTAACTTCCTTGGGTCACTGATGGTTAGGATGATGACACACGGACGCGATTCATCTGGCTACCAAAAGATCCTCAGACATCCGCTTAGATCCATCACGACGTTCGTGGATCAGGTTGGTTAGTGGGGTTAAAGCAACTACATTATGGTCATTAAGGTTGCACGTGACCTCACCACGAAACAAAAATGGGTTACTTCCTAAATTAGGGATTAAAGTGAACTCTGAGCATATACACTCGCGAGAAATACACCTCCGGGTGTACATATATATGTCGTATGATCAAGCAGTCGAGTATAACGAACACACTGATTTACAAAAACAAAAATAAGAGCTTTTTAGTTTAATATGTTTATTATGCACCCCATACCCATCCTGTGGGCGGTAGTCAAAAGATTACAGAGGTACATAATGGGCCTAGGGACTGGACCCCAAAGTTTTGATAGCTGAGCAAGTTACAGAGGTAATGAACTCCAGGTAGATCTGGTCACAATCATGACAAGTTACAAAGGTATTTACAGATTACAGAGGTACATACTGGGTCCAGGGACAGAGCGACAGTGTAAAGTTTTGATAGCTAAGCAAGTTTCAGTTGTATTGAACTATTTACATTTTTATGATGTGATAATGCTCCGAAATAAATCTATAAAGTAACCTGACACATCCTTCCCCAGATGTACAGCTCCCTGGCGACACTGGTAGAGAACGGTGGAGGGGAGGGAGAGATGGAGGACTACTGGAGAAGTACCCTGGTTACTGTTCACCATCACATGAAGCAGTCACTCGCCCTCGGCGAGATCTCTGAGGCAACCTTCAGCAACGAGGAACAGCTTGCTGATCTGGTACTCCAAATGATGGCCTCCTATTGATGAAGAGGACGAGGAGGATTCAAAGTTGCTTGTGACTGCATTAAAAATATCAAATATTATTTGACCTTTTAATAAAACTTAAGAAAACGAATAATTTTTGTTATTACTGTATTATTATTATTATTATTACTATTATTATTATTATATTATTATTATTATTATTATTATTAACACAACGGCCGTTTCCCACCGTGGCAGGGTGACCCGAAGAAAAAACCGCTTTCCTCATCACTCACTCATGAATATATAAGATTTTATATATAAATAAGTCCCCAACTGTCGGATTTAGTCTGAGTTCACAAGCAAGCTAACTCACGATCTTCTGAAATATCCCCACCACATATATAATAATGATACTTAACATATAAAACGAGATTATACGCCGCAAGTGACCAAACCTGTGGTATTCTCTCGCTATAATATTAAAACATCTTATTCACACACTCCCAGAGCCACCATTGCTCACTCCATGACTGCATATATAATGTAGCTCCTGGAACCATCTTGTGATGAACCAACTTGTGACGAACCATCTTATGATGAACTATCTTGTGATGAACCATCTTATGATGAACCAACTTGTGACGAACCATCTTATGATGAACCAACTTGTGATGAACCAACTTATGATGAACCATCTTGTGATAAACCATCTTGTGATGAATCAACTTGTGATGAACCATTTTATGATGAACCAACTTGTGATGAACCATCTTATGATGAACCAACTTGTGATGAACCAACTTATGATGAACCAACTTGTGATAAACCATCTTGTAATGAACAACTTGTGATCAACCAACAACTTGTGATGAACCATTTATGATGAACCAACTTGTGATGAACCATCTTATGATGAACCAACTTGTGATGAACCATCTTATGATGAACCAACTTGTGATGAACCATCTTATAATGAACCAACTTGTGATCAACCCATCCTTATGATGAACCAACTTGTGATGAACCAACTTATGATGAACCAACTTGTGATGAACCATCTATAGAATGAACCACTTATATGAACCAACTTGTGATCAACCAACTTGTGATCAACCATCATTATGAACCAACTGTGATGAACCAACATGTGCATATGGAACCAACATGTGATGAACCAACATGTATGAACCAACATGAATGAACCAACTTGTGATGAACCAACTTATGATGAACCAATTTATCATCTATAGATGAACCAACATGTGATGAACAACTTATGATTGAACCAACTTGTGATCAACCATACATGTATCAAACCACTTAGATGCCAACTTTGGACAACTTAGATGAACCAACTTGTTGAAATCTTATGAGACCAATTTGATAAACTTGTGATACCATCTATGATTAAAACATGTATGACAAGTATAACCATGTAATGAACCTACATGTGATGCCAACATTTACCAACTTGAGTATATAGACATTGATTTAACACATGTAATGAACTAACATGTAATGAACGACAATTCAAATTCAAGTTTATTTGCTATAAAGATTACAAGTTGAATTTACAGAATTTGTTGTTGTGTGGTTACATGTAGTTAAATAATGATTACAGTTTACCACTAGAACGCCTAGCATGGCTAGGCATTTCGGGCAGACTTAGTTTAATTCTTGATTTTAAAATATTACAATTATGAGGTAAGTTGGTATTATGGTTAAGTGACTAAATACTAGTTTGTGAGTTTAGCAATGTGAATGCTTTTGTTTTGGCACAGTACATAGTTTCAGTATTGGAGTATCATAGGATTCATTATTTTAAGATTGAGATTAATATTTCTGTTCATGGTCAAATGGGTGAGTGAGTGTAAGTGTGAACCACCAGGTGGTATTCGTGTAGTTAGTTGATGGGGTGTATCAGGGAGATAAGATGTTTTCTAATGGTAGTTTTGAAGGTGATGAATGTGTCTGCAGTTCTAGAGTTCTCAGGTAGGGTGTTCCAGATTTTAGGGCCTTTGATATACATTGAATTTTTGTAAAGGTTTAGTCGGACACGGGGAATGTCGTAGAGATGTTTGTGTCTGGTGTTATGCCTGTGGGTTCTGTCACAACTATCAAGAAAGCGTTTTAGGTCAAGGTTGATATTGGAGTTTAAGGTCCTGTAGATGTAGATTGCACAGTAGTAAGTGTGGATGTACTGAACAGGGAGTAAGTTTAGATCTATGAAGAGTGGGGGGGGGTGTGTTGCCAGGGATGGGATTTAGTGATTATTCTTACTGCAGCTTTTTGTTGGGTTATTATTGGCTTTAGGTGTGTTGCTGCAGTTGATCCCCAAGCACAAATAGCATAGGTGAGGTATGGATAAATAAGTGAATGGTATAGTGTGAGAAGGGCATTTTGCAGCACGTAATGAACATGTAATGAACCAACATGTAATGAACCAACATGTAATGAACCAGTATGTAATGAACCAATATGTAATGGACCAACATGTAATGAACCAACATGTAATGAACCAACATGTAATGAACCAACATGTAATGAACCAACTTGTAATGAACCAACATGTAATGAACCAACATGTAATGAACCAATATGTAATGAACCAACATGTAATGAACCAATATGTAATGAACCAACATGTAATGAATCAACATGTAATGAACCAACATGTGATGAACCAACATGCGATGAACCAACATGTGATGAACCAACATGTGATGAACCAACATATGGTAGCCAGGAGCGGCGGCACTTCAACATTAAGTTAATAACACTAATACAATTATTATCGAGCTGGAACGGTATATGTAAACTGATATTTTACAACATTTTACTAATCAAATTTGTAACAGTAATTATATTGCAATAAAACATTCTAGAATACGATATTTTTTTTACACTGGAGTAGTGCAAGTGTGTGTGTGTATACTTATCAACATATGGTTGCAGGGGTCGAGTCCTAGCTCCTGGACCCGTCCCTCTACCTACTGCTTGCCAGATTCATTCCATCCTAGCTTCACGGGCACTATCGTACCTGCCTCCATTACTCAAAAGTCAGAGTAACTTATTTCCATTTTCCACTGTGAGTCGTCTGTATCTTCCAGCTGCGCCTCCTAGTACCTGGTCCCGCCTCTCACACTGTCCATGTTCACCCTATCAATTTTTCTGAGTATTTTGAACGTTATCTGTCCTGTGACGTTAGGTTCAATTCAGTTAAGCTGCTCTGGTAGTTCATACCTCGCAGTTCTACAACAAGCCTCACTGCTCTGGTAGTTCATACCTCGCAGTTCTACAACAAGCCTCACTGCTCTGGTAGTTCATACCTCGCAGTTCTACAACAAGCCTCACTGCTCTGGTAGTTCATACCTCGCAGTTCTACAACAAGCCTCACTGCTCTGGTAGTTCATACCTCGCAGTTCTACAACAAGCCTCACTGCTCTGGTAGTTCATACCTCGCAGTTCTACAACAAGCCTCACTGCTCTGGTAGTTCATACCTCGCAGTTCTACAACAAGCCTCACTGCTCACTCCTCCACCTTTTTCTGCTTCGCAACATTTTTTTTCAGGTGTGAGTTCCATATGTGTGTGTCTACTCGTTTGTGTGTTTAGTCACCTTTATGCGGTTGCAGGAGTCTGGAAAATCCTAGAGGGACTAGTACCAAACTTGCACACGAAAATCATTCTCTCCGAAAGCAAAAGAATCGGCAGACGATGCAACATCCCCCCAATGAAAAGCAGGGGTGTCACTAGCACGCTAAGAGACAACACAATAAGTGTCAGGGGCCCGAGACTGTTCATGTGCCTCCCAGTATACATAAGGGGGATTACCAATAGACCCCTGGGTGTCTTCAAGCAGGCACTGGACAGGCACCTAAAGTCGGTATCTGACCAGCCGGGCTGTGGCTCGTACGTCGGATTGCGTGCAGCCAACAGTAAAAGCCTGGTTGATCAGGCCCTGATCCACCATGAGGCCTGGTCACAGACCGGGCCACGGGGGCGTTGACCCCCGGAACTCTCTCCAGGTAAACTCCAGGTAAACCACTTCTTACCAAGATCATTTCACTTCCCGACCACTCTGAGACTATTTCATCCGTGTCTTAACTACCAGCTGTCTCAGAGTTTGTTTCTCGCCTCTCAACTGCCTATTTCTGTCTGCCTTATCAATTCCCTTGAATATTTTATGTTATTATTTCTTCCCTCACCCGGTGTGTGTGTTTACCTATTTGTGGTTGCAGGGGTCGATTCACAGCTTCTGGTCCTGCCTCTTCGCTGGTCACTACTAGGTCCAATCTTTTTCCTGGACCATGAGCTGTATCATATCTCTTAAAGCTATGTATGAATCCTGTCTCCACTACATCACCCTCCAGATTGTTCCATTTCCTGACAACTCTATAGCTGAAGAAATACTTCCTAACATCCCTGTGACTCATCTGAGTCTTCAACCTGTGTGTGTGTGTGTGTATACCCGGAGACGGTTTCGGGGGTCAACGCCCTCGCGGTCCGGTCTGTGACCAGGCCTCATGGTGGATCAGGGCCTGATCAACCAGGCTGTTACTGTTGGTCGCAGGAACCCGACGTACGAACCACAGCCCGACTGGTCAGGTACTGACCAGTCGGGCTGTGTGTGTGTACTCACCTAATTGTACTCACCTAATTGTGGTTGCAGGGGTCGAGACTCAGCTCCTGGCCCCGCCTCTTCATTGATTGCTACTAGGTCCTCTCCCTCTCTGCTTCCTGAGCTTTGTCATACCTCTTCTTAAAACTATGTATGGTTCCTGCCTCCACTACTTCACTTGCTAGGCTATTCCACTTCCTGGCGACTCTATGACTGAAGAAATACTTCCTAACGTCCCTCTGACTCGTCTGAGTCTTCAGCTTCCAATTGTGACCCCTTGTTTCTGTGTCCCCTCTCTGGAACATCCTGTCTCTGTCCACCTTGTCTATTCCCCGCAGTATCTTGTATGTCGTTATCATGTCTCCCCCTGACCCTTCTGTCCTCCAGTGTCGTCAGTCCGATTTCCCTCAACCTTTCCTCGTACGACATTCCCCTGAGCTCTGGAACTAGCCTTGTTGCAAACCTTTGTACTTTCTCTAACTTCTTGACGTGCTTGACCAGGTGTGGGTTCCAAACTGGTGCTGCATACTCCAGTATGGGCCTAACATACACAGTATACAGTGTCTTGAACGATTCCTTATCAAGGTGTCGAAACGCTATTCTCAGGTTTGCCAGGCGCCTGTATGCTGCAGCAGTTATTTGGTTGATGTGTGCCTCCGGTGACGTGCTCGGTGTTATGGTCACCCCAACATCTTTCTCCATGAGTGAGGTCTGTAGTCTTTGTCCACCTTGCCTATACTCTGTCTGCGGTCTTCTTTGCCCCTCCCCAATGTTCATGACTTTGCATTTGGCAGGGTTGAATTGGAGAAGCCAGTTTCTGGACCACGTGTCCAGCCTGTTCAGGTCTCTTTGCAGTCCTGCCTCATCCTCATCCGATTTCGAGTGTGTGTGTGTGTGTGTGTGTGTGTGTGTGTGTGTGTGTGTGTGTGTGTGTGTTACCATTTTGTCCTAGGCACATGTGTGTGTGTGTATGTGTGTGTGTGTGTGTGTGTGTGTGTCTGTCTGTGTCTGTCTGTGTCTGTCTGTGTCTGTCTGAGTCTTGTGTCTGTCTGTGTCTGTCTGTGTCTGTCTGAGTCTGTCTGTGTCTGTCTGTGTCTGTCTGTGTCTGAGTCTGTCTGTGTCTGTCTGTGTCTGTCTGTGTCTGTCTGTGTTTGTGTCTGTCTGTCTTTCTGTCTGCTTGTCTCTCAGTCTTAGTGGCTCGTAAACCAACAGTAGT